TTTTTAGCTGACCGTAGTTTTGCGAATAGACTCGAAAACGCCATCACTATAACTTTGTGACCCAAAACGAATAAATTAGAAAACGTTTTTGACAGACATGATGTCATCGTCTTCTGAAAGTTTCTTCCGTCGTTAGCTCCAAAATAATAATAGTAATAATAATATTAAAATAATTTAATATTTATATTGCGCAAATTAACATGTGGATATTATCAAATGCGCATCACAACACTTTTCGGGGCACTTTGGCCGGACTGCATCAGCAGTTTACAAACAATCGAAGGAAACTTATTTGAAGATGGTCCTTCCCCCCCAATTCCCAATAAACAGGCCAGACCACATCAAAGTAATCTCGTGAGTGGGTTCTTTAACGTCCCCTGCCTAACCAAATTAACTAATTAGTAGATGCAGGAGACGAATCTGTGTTGAACTTTGTAGCCCGGTTTAGAAACGATCGATTTATGTCGAGTTGGTCCTTATTTCATTGGCTATTTGGCCGTTTTTGTTCGTTCAGAGTTTAACGTAAATTAGACAAACTGAACTCGACAGAAACGAGAGCAGACGCAAGTCCACCAATTCAGAAGATTTATGTCGATTAGTGTACACGAGATATATCAGTTCATGTTGTACTCGTTTTATTTCGTGTCCTGAGGCCTGGAAACTTTTGATTTTTTACAGGACTTGTTGCGGTTACTTGGAGAATGTTGTTTGGGATATTTGGTAGAGGAAAGATTTGTGGCTATGATTGAAAATCCCGTTTGATTCGTTGCATTCGCGCTGCGAAATGAGCCGCGGCCAAGTTGAATCATCCTAGAAATACTCTCTTTGCTTCTTATTGGTCAAAAGAACACTGAAACTACATATCAAATTTAAAAGAATATTTCAAAAGATGAATTTAAAGGGAAGATGGAAAGGTCCTGATAGGAACTGGACGAGGTTAATGGTGAAGAAAAGTATTACCAAGATGTCTTGTGCCAAAACGAATAGTATTCGGGTTAAATCAACATCGAGCAAACTTATAATTTTTTTTTTGTTTTTTTGCAAATCTGTGTTTTTTTAAAGATATTTCGGTAGAAATTATAAATATTAAAGTACACACATGCGATATTTTTTTGGTTGTAGACTATTGCTTCACAGATTGCTGCAAAAAGCCCATAATTACGGAAATAAGCAAAATTCTCCGAAATAATGCCACCTAACAGCTTGTTACAAACTGTATATTTTATAAGGTGATGTACGAATAGAGAATTATTAATTCTACGTAAGTGAGTGCAGAATGTCTGATAAATACTGCCTCATTAGCTAACGTACAGTCATTGCCAAAACAAAACCCGTTCAAGCCTTGGGCACGGGTACCTAGGGGAAACGAAATATCATGTCTTTTGCCTTTAAGAACCTCCGCTTAAAGTTACACGACAGATGGGAATTTATCGTTTTTCTCTATTTATTGTTCCAAGAATATTTTTTAAAACAAAAAAAGGTTGGTCTTCCTTATAAAATCTTTTGTAACAGGTGTTATCCGAAGGCGTATAGTGACGTTTAGAAAAAGTGTTCTTGAATTTTCCTTGATAGATGAATATTTTATGCGTTTCATTTTCACATCTTGGTTGGTCATTGCTAATGTTGAACTGTGAACTCGTGGGATGCTTCACAAAGGAAGCAAACGAAACAGTTGAAAATGCTGAATAACTTACAGAATTAAGATATAACCAAGATTAAGGGTTGGGCCTCAGGGCGAAGTCTTTCGAGGCACAAAGAAAGCAAGTGAGTGATTGGGTTATGTCCAAGGGTTTAAAAGAAAGCTCAACGTGAAGAAACCCGTGACTTGTCTTAGCACAAGGCAACACGTTTCACAGCCAAAATGGGATGGTTTTATTCATGAATGCGACGGTATGTTAGGCAATAGATAGATGTACCAGTTATAAATTATCGTTAACACGGAAAAACTGTCAAAGCCGGTGAATAATGCAGATGTTTGATGAAATTTTGCGTGCCGTTTGACATGTCTTGCAGGGTGTCCTTTGAAGATGTCTCCACCGTATCCTACAACAATCGCTCATTTACTGTTGTCCACGGGGGAACTGGGCCTCAAGCGCAACGAGACACTTACAAGATGAAGTGTGAAAGCGATGCTGTAGCTTTGTTCCGGACTTTTACGGAGTTCCACACGTTTTACCAGTGGAACACTGTCAAACGATCCGTTATTGATCAATGTACTAGGACTCTGGCTGGTCGGCTGTTTTCCATGTTTGTACCGCGAAATGAGTTTGGTAGGATTTTCCTGTTCGACGTTCAGCGCACGCGTCGCCAGGCTTACAGTCACGCGTGGGGCGAACTCAACTCATGCCGCATGATTGACATGCCAAGCTCCACCTCCGGAAGTTTGCGTTCCTCTCCTGGGTCAGCGGAGTACCGCCCAGTGCAGTCCCCTATCTCTCAACGGAGATTTTATAGCACAAAGAGGTATGAGGAAGCAGGAACATCTAGGGGTGAATGCCGGAGAGCCTTTGTCGAGAGGGAGTCCATGGAGAGCATGACTCCAGACCAACTCAAGGTTATGGTGCGACACCTCCAGGATGCTAGAATCTGCCAGATCTGCATGGATAGCGAGGTTGCGACCGCCTTCTGCCCTTGCGGCCATGTGGTTTGTTGTGTGGAGTGTTCATCCATGTGTAAAGAATGCCCATTATGTCGAAGTCAGATTACTTACGCTCAACGAGTGTTCTTTCCTTGTGAGTGAAAATGGTAGATTGCATTGGTCCGGCAGCGAATGAAGTTCGTGATGCTTACTTGACCATGCGATCGATAACTTGATTGAATGGCCACAATGAGGCTGACACCATCAGCTACACTACAGTAGTCTAGTTTTATGTACGAAGTGCAAGTCTTCCACGGAGTGTAATAAAAGAAACCCAAACTAATCTTAAAGATCAACTTGTAAACATTGCTACGCTGTGTCTTGCGAAGAACGCGGATTTAGGACTTCATTTTTTAGGACATCTTTGTTTATTAGCCTCCTGAAAGAACTTCAGAAAAACGTTAGATCCCTGAGGAGACGAAAATTAAAGTTGTATCTTAAATTATTTATCGTAGTCGGTGAAATGATGTAGTAAGATAAAATCATTTGATTGGAACTGGCTCTCGATAGACATTTACGGAGGATTTTGTACAAGCTAAGTTGCGTAATTTCATAATTTATGTAGATGTCAATATAAAGAATAGAAAGATATTTCTTAATATAATTCAAACATAATCTTTATAGTTAACGATGTAGCTAGTTAGCAAACCGTGAAAGCAAGCATATAGGCTACTAAAAACATGACATTTTTAACGAATTGGAACAGTTTTTAGTGAGAGAGGTGAAGTGATCATGCCTTGTTTGGAGGCGTCAGAATTTGGTGAATTGGTAGCTGAGCTATTGCACGAATATTGTGTTACGATCTTTTACAAGAAGAATCAAGGTTCTCAATTTTCTCAGTTGAAGCAAGTAAGTAGTTGGGTGATTTTAAACTAACCTTTTTTGTGGACGGCTCCCTAGTGCCTGTCGTTGAAGGAACCTTGTAATTTAAGCCGTTTTTGTGACAATGTAAGATTGCCTTTACTTGTAGTGAGGTAGAAAAGTAACAAAGCAGAAGTAAACCACTTTTAACCGTATGGCTACGGATAAAACATTTTGAGCTAATTTGTTCAAAATTTACGAAGGGTGCCTTAGCACTTTTGAGTTTATCCCGGACTCTTGCTATACTGTTAGCTTCATTTTTACGCATAAAAGATTCGTATTTGTATTAGTTATTTGTTATGGTTTTTTTTTCTAAAAAAGGGTCAACCTGCGACTCGGTAGTTGTATACAATCATTGTATTAATTTTGTGTTAAGCACTTAACCTTATTTAGCTGTTTCGATTGCTAGTAATTTAATGGACACTTGTTGAAATGCTTGTTGAGAGGGTTACACTTCGAAGGTCAAGTACAGAGTACAAAACTTTCCAATTTTCTTACTTTTTGAGTCGCTAGTCGTATTGAAATATGTAGATTTTTAAGAGAAATAATTATAATTCCATAGTAAAAGTGACGATGTGTTTATTTATTATATCGCTCGCACCGCCCGTGGTCAAGATGAGGCGAATCCTGTGTTCTGATTGGCTACCCGAGCGGGTAAGATGGGCCAATCTTGCCAGCTTGGGACTGCCCGCATTGATCTCGCGCATGAAAAAAATAGAATTAGAACTACGTTCGCACTTCTTAGACAATTTTGGCGGTGGAAACGAAAAAAGCTGCAGAAGATAGCTACACAACGAAAACAGAAACGACCCTCGTAAGTTTGTTGTGCTACAAACAGTTGACTTCCTTTCCAGGCTCTCGAAGTAAACAAGTCATTTCTTAATTCTTAAAAAAAGTCAAATAAAATCCTTTTGCAGTGTAATAAATCCTTTAACCTGCAGCTTGTTCGGTCAAGATTACCGGATATTAGCCTCGTTTATTTTTTTTCGCATACTTATGGACCTCGACTTCGTCTTGGTCCACAAAAATGCAAAAATAGAACTCGGCCAATATCCAGCCATCTTGACCTCACGCTTGGTTACTAACGCATGTGTATTTTCACTTAACTGAAAGCGTTGCTATGCCTTAATGGGGAATGGTTGAGGTAGGGGTTTGGAGAAGGGGGGAGGGGGGGGTGGAAGAAGGGTGTACATGGCACCCTACCAAAGATAGTTAAATATGTGAGAACTTCACAATTCGTGGTAATCCAGAGAAGAAAAGTTAAAGATGAATAGCTTTTGAATTGTTTTCGCCAGGAGGTAATGTGCTCCTGTTTTCGCATAATATTTAGGACTTTGGAAAAAAAAAATCGAGCAGTATTTTACGAATTAAGTCATTAATGAGCCTCTTTTTTGCGCTTTTCTGTTATATAGTGCTGGATCTAAAATTGATTAACGACCGACAAAGAGTAATGAACGTGTCCGCAAATGATCCCAGGACCGCAAACGATCCCGGACCGGAAATTATCCCCTTATGGGGACCGCAAATGATCCCGACTAAAAGAGAGTAATGGTATGGATGTGGGAATGAGGAGGATAGGGAATTGGGGTGAATAGCAATTATTGTTATTAAAAGTATCTTAAATTATGGCTTACAACTGGCTTCTCTTTGTTACTTTTTCCAGACTACGATGCCATGAATGGCACCTTGATAAACGGACTTGGAATTCTCTCAACTATATATCTTCAAATTATGACCGAGATTCTTTTCGACAACACAATAAACGCTACATATTCTTCCCTAACTAGTTACACATTGGTATGCCAGCGTGGTATATCGTTCTATCTTTAAATCAAATTGTATCTGTCCATTGACGACACCCGGCTGGCAACAACAGCAACAATGTCAGTAAAAACAACATCAAGAACGGGGTGTTTCAGACTAATAGGTTACCACCCAACCACAGGCAGCCCAAGCTCACTACGAGAAAAGCGGTCGTGACTCTTACCGTGTTGCGCAACGTTTTATATTTATAAAGGTTTGTATGGGATGTTATCGGTTTGCTTTAAAAAAGAGAGAAAAAAATGCCTTGTTTTGAAATAAAATGAGCTTTAAAAAAGAGAGAAAAAAATGCCTTGTTTTGAAATAAAATGAGCTTACCTCATTGCCTTGTTGTTTTCTTTGTTGATTCCTAGCGTCTCAGGCCATTTTGAAGCGTTTTCGGCGAGTCAGCGCTATGTTGGTGGTCAACTGCTAGGTTCACCACCAACATAGCTTCATGCTTGCTCTTATCGTTTACTCCGAGAACGCTCACAAATGATATCGTTGCAAGAACAACAGCGATTATTAGAAGAAGCAGTTTAGCCATTTTTACAAGTACGTTTGAGACACAAATGAATAAAGGCTGATAGTTTCTAAAGAAACTGTTTGGAGCTGCGTCGGTGGGGGTAACGAAATAATTTGAATATATCAACAAAGTTGAAATGGTAAATTGGCCACCGTTACGATTATAAAAGCTGATGTTTCGAGCGTTAGTCCTTCGTCGGAGCGAATGACGAAGGGCTAACGCTCGAAACGTCAGCTTTTATAATCGTAACGGTGGCCAATTTACCATTTCAACTTTGTTGATATATTCAAATTATTTCGTTACCCCCACCGACGCAGCTCCAAACAGTTTCTTTAGAAACTATCAGCCTTTATTCATTTGTGTCTCAAACGTACTTGTAAAAATGGCTAAACTGCTTCTTCTAATAATCGCTGTTGTTCTTGCAACGATATCATTTGTGAGCGTTCTCGGAGTAAACGATAAGAGCAAGCATGAAGCTATGTTGGTGGTGAACCTAGAAGTTGACCACCAACATAGCGCTGACTCGCCGAAAACGCTTCAAAATGGCCTGAGACGCTAGGAATCAACAAAGAAAACAACAAGGCAATGAGGTAAGCTCATTTTATTTCAAAACAAGGCATTTTTTTCTCTCTTTTTTAAAGCTCATTTTATTTCAAAACAAGGCATTTTTTTCTCTCTTTTTTAAAGC